TAAAAAGGAAAAAGGATTGTTATTTTAGATGTACTTAACAAATCCAATTTCTTTATAATATCAGTTTATCATAAAAAACTTATTTAGATCTTTTCTTCAAAATTTTTTTAGTTTCGTTCCCTCTTGCTACAAATTGGGTTTTATTTGTTGTTTGATTGATCAAACTTATAAAGTTAACAATTTATCAGCTCATTATGTCGCTTTCCATTTGTTTTTACATATAAATTTTTATTAGTTGTTTATTAATTCATTATTTTTATAGCTATCAAATTAATATTCTTTAATATACTAGTCATCACTTGTAAACTTCTAATAGTCATCCCTCAAAATCTTATAAAAGTCATCACTTGTAATCTTATTATTATAGTTGTAATAAAATGTAAATAAAAGTTTTTAAATGTAAATAAAACTTTGAATTTTTTGTAAAAATAGTTTTTTGAATTCCTTGGCTCTTCTTTTGCAAAACTGTCTGTTAGAAGAAACCTTTTGATATTTTTTTGACAATTTTTTTTATTGTTATTATTTTTTATCATTTTTGTTTCTCATAAAATGAAATATCTTGCTCGTAATGTTTTTCTAATGCTTACCTATAATTTTCTTTTAGTTATGTTAATCAATAGTTAACCAATACTTATGCCACTAATATGTGGAATATAACCCATTTTCTAACACTAGAAACAACACATTTGGACCTTTTTTAAACTACACAACACCTAATAAATTATATCAAGGGAGCAAGAAATAATTTCTTGATATGAGTTATGAGATGCTATGTAATGAAAAAACAAACCAGTCCATGAATTTGAAAATTTCAAATTCTTTTTTAAATTTTAAATTTGTATTTTTTTAGTAAAAAGTGTACAGAGAACTGATTATTTTTTATGCTATTGTATCAGACTAAAATTCTGCTACCATAAAATCACTGACCATGACTTCACTGACCCCACTTTTATAGAGTTTTAACTCATTTAGTGTTTGTAAAGAACCTGTGAACTATTTTGGTAATGTAAGACAATATATTGGCATTCATTTAATCATTTACCACATCATTTTTTTAACGAGAGTTTTACAAGTTCTCCTTATACTGTTGTTTAATTATTTACCAGATCATTTTTTTAAAGAGAGTTTTACAAGCTCTCCTTATACTGTTGCTTAATAGTTGTTGTTGTTTTTTGTTTTAAATATATTATTCTTATTGTTTTAAATATTATTTTTTGTATTGTTTTAAATATATTGAGTATATTCTTTTATTAATAGCATCATTACGAGGGGGAAAGTTTCACACACATTTAATGGAAAAGTTTTCTCCATCCATTGTCCGTTACATAGACCTCATGGAATCATCAATTGCAAGATCTGTTGATAAAGGATTTGCCAAAGAAACTTATCAATCAGTTGGGTGGGTATTTTTATTTAAGTGTGTTACTTAATTTAATACATAGCTGAATTACAGAAAAGAAAAGAATTTTGCAGCGTCAAAGAAGAAAAGAATTTTGACTTCAATTCTAAAAAAAATTCTAACAATGCATTAAAAAAACTATTTTTTTTAGCAATTATTATTTAAAACATGTTTAGATTCAAAATGAATTCTTTGCATAAAATTTAATAGAAACAAGAAGCATTCTAAATTCTGTTTAATTGACAATCAAGAGACATTTTTATTTTTATTAGTTTTAATTTAAATAGCTTTAATTGGTATTTAATGCTCACATTAAATACCAATTAAAGTATTTAAATTAAAATTTTGTATTTGGATTGTTTACTGCCAATGCCAATGTATTTCCCTGACACATATGTGTCTGGGAGCCTGGAACTATGTTACATTACTTGTATTATATATTCTTATTTTTTACATTTGTACCTGATCTCTTTGTCATTTTTTTTTTGACTTTACCCACAACATATTTCCTACAATCAAAACTAACCATTATTATGCAAACCACTGCATCTCTTTTTATGATGAGTCACCAGTCCTGTTATTTCTTGTGAGTCGCCACTCCTGTAATCTCTTGTTAGTCAATTGTTTACAAATGGTTTTAACTATTAATTTTTTTGAGCTTACTTTTGCCACATTTCCTAAAATCACTCTTAACAAAAAACATATACAACTATTCTTTAAAATTAATGAACATTCAAAATCTTTAGAACAAGGGATGAATGTTTAGAATTTAAAAGTTTAAATAATTATCTAGTTTGTTTTTTACTTTTTTAAATTTTTTATTTCTTTTATATTAAAGCAATGTCAAAACTGATTGACATGTTGTTGCACACATATTTTATTATATAAATGTTATTCTTTAATAGATAGATTATACTATGTCATATAAAAAATTTTTTAATATATAAATACATAAAATTTTTATATAGACATGGGTGTGCTACTTCAGAAGAGGTGTTTTGGAAACTTAGCTCTATTCAAGCCTTTATTCAAGATCTTCATTGGCCAGATGAGATTTTTGCAGAACATATTGCAACTCGGTTAAAACGAATGGCTGCTGACATGACCGAAGCAATTGTAAACAGGTAGTAATTTTACAGGCCTATTCATTTTTATTATTATTTTTTTTTAATCTACTTATTTTTTTTAAACAGAGTATCGAATGATATTAGACGACATTTAGTAGGAAAAGTAAATCTTGAATATGTTATCCCAGTTGAAGTTTGTGTGATGATCAATGTACTCTGCAGAGCAGATGAACAAGTTAGTTTTATGCTTTACAGGTTTTGTTTTTGAAATAATTTTATTACATAGAAAAGTGCAATTCAGTTCATTAATAGCAAAAGTTGAAAACCGTTTTAAATTTGTTTCAATTTTTTTGTCTGGAAAATGATATTTTTTGTAATGAAAGTTATAAAATAAACTTCAGAGTTTCAAATCTGTTTATTCAACTCTTTTAATTGCTGAATTACAAAAGTGTTTCTCTTTCTTTATTTAACATTTGAATTAATATACTAAAAATTGTTAAATAAGTGAGGTACTTAAGGTGCTTTGCTTTTTAATATTGTTTTTATAAAATATAATAAAATAAATGCAATATAATAATGCTTTAATAATTATGGTTATTTAATATTATTTCTAGAACTTATAAAATAGTTATACTTTTTTACTTTTGCTAAATTACTAAAGACTCATAAAAAGACTCTCCAAGATTACCCATGAGCACATATACTTACATACTGATTTTTTTTATAGACTATAAAATTGACTCTATAAATTGTTAAATAATTGTTAAGCAGTAATAGTTTTTATTTTATATATAGAAAAATGAGGTAATTTCGCCACCAATTGGTGTATATCTACTTTTATAACTATAACTTTACTCAGGAATAAGGTTTTTTATAGTTCAAATTTCTATAAAAAGAAAAACAAATTTCTTATCTTATTTTGTAAAAAAACTATTGTTTGTGAAAACTTGATAAGAAAATAAATTGACAAAAATAATCTATAAAAAAACAGGAAATTAAAATTCTCATCAAATCAAATTATTTACTTCCATTCAAAATTTAAAAGACTTAATTGAAAATTTAAAAGACTAAATATTGGAAATTTTTCGAAGAATCTTTGTATTGTTTTTTTCTTTCTACTTTTAATCAGTTCCAAAGTTATTATGGAAATACTAAATTTAAGGGAACCAAATTTTTTTCCCAAATTAGATTTTATTGGGTCATTTCGCCACCCCATTTTTCCTGTTCTAATTATTTTTAAAAAAAAGTTAAAGTATATAAAGTTTATAAAAATATTACTAACGATGAAATTACCCCATCTTATTCTACTTATTTTGATGAATGACAAAGGTTATTTAGGGGTACTCAGGTGCTACTCTAGGGTGTGAAGTCCAAAAAAGGTCTCTTATTTATCTAAGAAATGAATTTGTGAATAAAAACAACCACTTGTAATTTAAAAGGTGTTTTACAGGTGGGGCTTATATGAAAAAGGGTTTTGTTAATTTATGTGATATTTTTGTTTGGAAAGTTTGATTTACACTTTATTACATGATTTTGAGGTTACACAATTCCTAATAGCTCTTAACAATTTTTTTATATATATTCTATATTAATGTTTAATATGTCTTATTAAACATTAATATAGAAAATGTGTATGCATTAATAAATATGTGTATATTACTTTTATTTTAAATCAGTAGAAATATAGTATAGTTTCACGTTTTTTTAAAGATATTTTTAGGATTTTGCAAAATTTAAATGTATTTTAAAACGGATGTTTATATTTGCTTTTATATAAACACAGACAATATGTAAACCGGGCTTGGTGATAAGGGGTTGTCCATAATTTATATCAGGCTATTTGGTATTTGGTGGTTTTGTGATGACTCATACTAAACTTGCTACTTAAGTGTTCCGATTTTGTGATGAGGATGGGTGGTCAAAAACAGTCAAAAAATGCTTGATGTAATTTATGGATGACCCTAAGACATTTTATGTCTTCTTCTTACTCTGGCCTAAATTTATAAATTTAGTATGTATTTATTGTAAATTTATCAACCTGCAAACTATCAAACAGGCAAATTATCAAAAGGCAAAAAAAAAAAGAATTATTATTTAAATAATTTTAAGCAAAAAATCTGAACAAAAGGCTTGTTTTAAAATATTATCAATGTTTTGTTACATAAATCAGTTCAATTACTCTCATTCCTACACTTTTCAAATATTCTTTCTCAATACATTCATTCCAATTAATTTGATATAGTGAAATAGCATTGAATTTTTTTTGTCTTTAATTCCTTTGAGAATTAAATTCTATATAAAAAATTAATTTTGATTTCAAAATAAATGAAAAACTTTTTTATTTTATTTTAAAATATCTAACTCACATCTTAGAGTAAAAATATCTTTAACAGAGGTTTTACAGTTAAAATGACTTTTGCACTAAAAAGTCTTTATTACAAAAACATCACTTAATATTATTAAAACAGCATTTTCATTTCTATAAAGAATAAACCAAAGCAGGCATAAAAAACATAATTAAAACTATTTAACTATCATTTTCATTCAAACAATCTGTTTTAAGTACTTACTTTTTTTTTAAGGCTGATGAACTGTGCACAGTTGAAGATCTATCATATCCTGAAGTATTTTTTTTTGTTGCTTTTATTTATGTTGCTATGTTTTTATTTAGGTGTTCTTGTATCATCGCTATTGTTATGTTGTTACTGCTGTATTGTTGCTGCTGTTATGTTGTTACTGCTGTATTGTTGTTATGTTGTTACTGCGGTATTGTTGTTGTTATGTTGTTGCTGCGGTATTGTTGTTGTTATGTTGTTACTGCGGTATTGTTGTTGTTATGTTGTTACTGCGGTATTGTTGTTGTTATGTTGTTACTGCGGTATTGTTGTTGTTATGTTGTTACTGCTGTATTGTTGTTGTTATGTTGTTACTGCTGTATTGTTGTTGTTATGTTGTTACTGCTGTATTGTTGTTGTTATGTTGTTACTGCTGTATTGTTGTTGTTATGTTGTTACTGCTGTATTGTTGTTGTTATGTTGTTACTGCTGTATTATTGTTGATATGTTGTTACTGCTGTATTGTTGTTGTTATGTTGTTACTGCTGTATTGTTGTTGTTATGTTGTTACTGCTGTATTGTTGTTGTTATGTTGTTACTGCTGTATTGTTGTTGTTATGTTGTTGTTGTTGTTGTTTTTTTTTATTTTAATTCACCTCCTCAAGGCCAAGAAGGCCACTACAGACGAGGAGGCTACTTATTTGTGGCTATAACCCTCTCTCAACTCTATAACTCCGAAACACGAACCTTGACGAACAAGGCCGCTGCGTGGAGAAACGAGTTGAGCGCGGTACTACCAGGGATGTGGTGGGGATCGAACTCGGAACCACTCGTTTATGAAGCGAGCGCTCTACCACTACACCACTACCGCATGTTACTGCTGTATTGTTGTTGTTATGTTGTTACTGCTGTATTGTTGTTGTTATGTTGTTACTGCTGTATTGTTGTTGTTATGTTGTTACTACTGTATTGTTGTTGTTATGTTGTTACTGCTGTATTGTTGTTGTTATGTTGTTACTGCTGTATTGTTGTTGTTATGTTGTTACTGCTGTATTGTTGTTGTTATGTTGTTACTGCTGTATTGTTGTTGTTATGTTGTTACTGCTGTATTATTGTTGTTATGTTGTTACTGCTGTATTGTTGTTGTTATGTTGTTACTGCTGTATTGTTGTTGTTATGTTGTTACTTCTGTATTGTTGTTGTTATGTTGTTACTGCTGTATTGCTGTTATTATGTTATATGTATTAGTTGTTATGCTGCTGTATTTTTGCTTTGCTTATTTATTAATCATGTTTATTATGTTTATGTATCTTTTTTTTTTTCTTTCTACCTTTATTTATTTGCTATGAACAATGATTCTTTAGGAAATTTCTTATCACACAAACATAAAAGATTTTATCCATAAAGCTCAAATGGATAGCATTGCTTTAATAATTGATAAAGTAAGAAATTTTTTACATTAGAATTAATCAAGAACTTTTTTAAAAAGTTTTGTTTCTTAAGTTGTAATTTATTTAGCTTTGTTTAATAATGAAAGAACTTTTGAAGAAACTCGCTCGATATGATCAGGGAAAACTATCTTCTAAGATTTTAAATTTGATGGTAAGCTTCTGAATTTTACAATATTTGTTAGGTATAAAAACATAAATTTTGACACTTAACAAGTTTACATCATAAACTTGTTAAGTGTCAAGATGAAAACTTCTTGCAAAGTGCTTAGTTAAGCACTCATTGTTAAACTTAGTTAAACACTCAATGTTGAATTTAATGTAAACTTGTGGATTAGTGTTGCATCATAAACTTGTTGCTAAGTTTTGAATCATAAAATTGTTGTTAAGTGCTATATCATAAACTCATCATTTTTATTTAAAACTGTTTTTATATTAGAAACCAACAGAAGATGTTGCTGAAGACTTTTATCATTTTGTTGTAAGAAATATTAGAGAACTCCGTAAAACTGTTGAATGTGAATCTTATGTCTTTACTCTTGAAAAAGTAAGTAACAATTAAGTATTTTAATGTAAAATATTTTGGTTAAGAAAAAAAGTAACAAGTAGCAACCATATATTTGCTATGCCGCAAAAAACAGTTTGTAATAGTCTTAAACTAACTTGACCAAATGTAGCCAATGTATTTTTATCAGGGTTATATTGACTGCATTATATATTTTTCCATGAACTTTGTTTATAATTTTCCTCCTTATTAGTTTATGTTTTCTTCTTTTTCTATCTTTTTATTAATTGTTTTCTTATCTCTTCTTCTTTTTTTTCTTTTTTTTTTTTTTTTTTTTTTTTTTTTGTATTTAATTTTACTATTTTAAGTTTTTATTTTTTCAATAAAATTTGGGTTTTTCATCGTATTGTGTTTTGTATATATATATATATATATATATATATATATATATATATATATATATATATATATATATATATATATATATATATATATATAAATATAAATATATATATATATATATATATATATATATATATATATATATATATATATATATATATATACACACACACACACACTAGTTGTCATGACGCATAAAATATGTAGTTTATTCACATTTACCTTTATTTTATATTTATTCAGCTATTTATCTATCCTCTATTTCTTCACCTCATTGTTTTTTGAATAAATGGTAGAAAAATAATTAATTTAAACATTGTTCTTAGAGCAAAAAAAAAATATCACTCTTTATTCACATGCTTAGAGCTCATTAGAACTTTTACTCCTTTATTCAATTTCAAAGAAAAAGTCTAAATTGAATGAAAACACCTTCCTACTTTAAAAAAGAAATTGTCTTTTTAATGTTCTAGGTGCACAGATTAACCTTATTGATTGCTTTTTCAAAGTTCAGTGCTTAGAAAATAAAATTTCAACCATTTATCATAGCAAATTTACAAAGCAAAAGACCAGCAAGTTGGGTCATAGGGAGCTAGTTATGTCAAATACACCCTGCATTACAAAACATTTTCAATTTTTTCAATCTAGGCATATATTTGTAGCAAAAAAGTAATTATAAAAACTTTTAATTGTTAAAATAAAATTTTAAAGTTTTTGCTAGCTACAGACTTTTTTTTTTTTTTTTGCCTTCATAGCAGCACCTTCTGGAGTAGCAGGACTGTCTTAATAAATTCTCTCGTTTGTTACAGTATATAATATCTTTACATATGTTATGTATATAATATTTATAAAACTTTAAAAGTGTCTTATTTTGTATTTTTGTTTAGTAAATTTACTTGATCTATATCGGTAATAATTTCAAAATTTTTTTTTGTAAAATAGTAGAGGATTTAGAGGATTACATCAATATAGAAATGCTTACAATATTGCAAAAACTGTTTGCATAAATAATTTATTATGAGTTAAAATTCATAAGCCACTGCAAGGTCCAAGCTTTTACAGAAGAGAGATTAAATTCAAGATTAGCTGCCTGTTCTAAGCCAATCTTAAATTTGACTTTTTGTCAAAGTTGAGTCATCAGCAATCCGACCTACTTAGTAAGAATATCATTAATGTAGATAAGAAACAATACAGGACTAAGGACGGAATCTTGAGGTATCTCAAGAGTTACTTGGCTTTTAAGGATAACTTCAATCTCAAAAATTTTCCTAGATATGAAATACTTTATGAAACAAGCTTATGGAGATACTATATGAAACAAGCTTATGGAGAAGACCAGCATTCTAAACCTTATTGAAAGCTTTTCATATATTAAGACCAATATACCTTGTCTTGCCGCTCCATCTAATGCACAGTCAAATCTTTTAGTTACAGCAATTAGCTAGTCAGCCATAGAACAAGAAAATAACAAAAAAATCAAAATCTATATTGATTGTGGGGGTAAATAATTATATTTTTGATTGGAATGTTAAAAGTTTATTGAATAAAGAGTCAAAGATCTTGCAGAATAAGTTGCTTAGCCACTCATGGAGGCACAAGCAAAAATCAATGAGTAGAATCAAAAAGATCTAGCATTCATCATACTAGGCAGGAAACAATGTAACAGGTTTACATCTTTGTTAGGCTAGTAGATCAATAAGGGGGTGCAAGTTGACAAAATTATTATGCTCTACCCCTAAGTCTCTGCCTGGCTGGTTTTCTACAAGAGAATAGTTAAATGCAGTTAGCATCTGAGCTTTTTTATTGAGACACTTTTTCTAGCCTTTACTCAAGCAAGAGCCCCAAGGCAGGGGAATTTTAAGTTTCTTACAGTGCAATAGGACATAGGTCAAATAGTACTGGATTGCATGTTGCCAGTAGCTTGGTGGTCCTGGTGATCCAGAACCTGATCTGACCTGGATTTAGGTGTTGCTCAAGACCCTTTAATATAAGATTGTTGTTATATATATTTTCTTAAAAGAATTAAAAAGAATTGAAATTGAGTAGCAATTTCAAAAAAAAAAAAAATTATATTTTATTGAATTAAAAGTATAACTTTTTCTATCCTAAATGCAACTTTTTCATGGTGTTAATTAACTAATGAAAAGTTAAAGAAATTATTATATAAAAATCACAAAATATTTCTTTAAAGCATTACTCTATAGCAGATCAAAGATTTTTTTTATATCCTTAAAGCCAAATAATAGTAATAATAATAATAATAATAAGCCAAAATGGGTTGCATTAAAATAGCGATGTAGTGTTTAATCTCTCTTCATAACAGAAGAGAGATTAAACACTACATTGCTATGTTTTCTAAATTTTTTTAATTACTATATTTTTTATATCTTTTTTTTTTTTTTTTTTTTAATTTATAGGTTTCACAAATCCCACTTTTTTTAAAAGTTACTTTAATTTTATTTTAAAGCATATTTTTTGGAATAAATTAAAGTACACTTATAAAAAGATATTGATTTAAAATTTAGGCTCTCCGAATTCGTTAAAAACTTCATTGTTCTCGTTCACCCAGATTTCAGAAAACATAAACCAGATTTCAGAAAACATTAACCAGATTTCAAAAATCCTTTTCTTGTTGATTTTTTTTTTTTTAATTATCTAATAATACAAATAAAATATTTGAAACTTTTGTTTAAGGCATTATGGGAAAAGTTATGTTCCTTATTATCCTCTTGGTTGGTCCAAAGACAAGAAGTGGCTCTGCATGTATATCAATTCAAAGTTTTGTCAAATATTGTTGAGGTATTATTATGACAGTATAGTAAGATTATTTTTTGTATGTGTCATTAGTGAAATCGTTTATTCAAGAGATTTTTTTAAATTTGTGTTATAATAAAGAAAGTTAATGTTTTCACCTATATTTACTTTACAGACCAGTGTTATAAACTGTTTAACTTAAGTTAAAATTTTCAGATTTCTATATATATATATATATATATGTATATATATATATATATATATATATATATATATATATATATATATATATATATATATATATATATATATATATATATTATATATATATATATATATATATATATATATATATATATTTATATTATATATATATATATATATATATATATATATATATATATATATATATATATATATATATATATATATATATATATATATATATATATATATATATATATATATATATATATATATATATATATAATTATATATATTATATTCTATATATATATATATATATATATATATATATATATATATATATATATATATATATATATATATATATATATATATATATATATATATATATATATATATATATAAATATCAGGGGCGGACTGAGGCTTGAAATCGAACTGAGAATTTTTCATTTGTCCGGCCCACATCAAAGAAAAAGAAAGTATAAAAATGGATTAAAAATTGATAAAACCTGAGAAAATATTTGAATTCTAATTAGATAAATTTTGAGAAAAAAAATTTGACACCCAAATTATTTGAAAAAAAACCAAAGTTGATTAAATGTTCCACCTGGAAAAAAATAATAAATAGAAAAAAGTGGCTAATAAAAGTGAATTTAATTTTAAGAACATTTTCCTATTAGATTCCTGCAATAATTTGGAATTAAGATTGTTAAAAATGATATCGGAATAGTAATTAAAGGAAATGATATGAAAAGCCAGAACAAAGAAAAACCTGTTGAAATTAAAATTTTTGGAAAAGGCAGTACAAATTTTGGAAAAAAGGAAGAAAAAAGTGTGAAACTTATTTTCTTTTTTTTAAAGATATTTCTTTATTCGAGCTATTCTTTTTCTTTACAAAATAATTTTTACTTTTTTTACTTAATCTTTATAGCAAAAAGATACTTAATAATAACAACTTTTGTTGAGAATACTTAGTCATAAAAAAGAATTTTTTTAAAATAGTTTAAAATAGTAGAATTGTGTAAATAAATAAAAGCCTTTAATTAAAGAACATATGATCAGTATATATACTCTTTTATTACATATGTGAGTGTCAATGCATGTCTATGTGAGTATTTTATTTTCTATATGCGAGTGTCAATGCAACTCAATTTTTTTCTGAAAAATTTTTTAATTATTTATATATATAATTAATAAACCAGGGTAAAAGGGTAGTTTTTTTGAACGAGTCAGGGAAAAAAATTGATTTGTTAGGGAAAAAGTCAGAGAAATTATTATTATTATTATTATTATTATTATTATTATAATATATATATATATATATATATATATATATATATATATATATATATATATATATATATATACATATATACGTATAAATATATGTAAATTTTAAATCTCATGGTCTCTATTTTTATAGTATTTGTTTCAGTTTTGTATGTTTATTTGAGTTAATTTGTAATTATGCTTGATATTTATTATAATCATGTCTGACTTAAATTGTAATTGCTTTTTTTATTACAGCCATGTCGAAAATTGTTTGAGCAAGAGGGGCTTACACAGAATGATTTAGAAAATGATGATTATAAAGCTGCTTACTCTAAGTTGAAGTTAGAAGAAGCCATGCTGAATTTAACTGAGCCGACTATGTTAACACGCGAAATCGAGGTCAAAAGCTACGAAAGTAAAATACAAAAAGGAGATTCTGACTATGAAGATGACTGATATTTTTAATTGATCACCGTTTTATAGTATTTTCATGAATTTTTTGAAATATTTTCAGGCTCTCTTTCTACCCATATTACTTAAATTAATATATTTAATCGGCAGTTCATTCTTAAATCTTTTTTAAATTTTTTTGCTTTTGCAAGATTGGTTAGTATCTATTGTTTGCAAGCTAAAGAAAATAGTTCAATTTAATTTAATTTAGAATCAGTCAATTGTTTTAAACAATCTATTCATAACGTTAAATTAGTAACTAGCATAAATCATAATTTCCTTGTAGTTTATATACTGGTAATATTTATTTAATGCATGAAGATTGCGGAAGTAATTTTATAGTTTTGTAGTTCTGCAGGTCTAATATTTATAAATGGAGTACATTCAAAATTTTAATTAAATTTTATAGTATTAATAAAAAGATTTTTTTTTTTTTTTTTTTTTTTTTGATTATAAATAGATGTATCATATTTGTTTGTCTACTTTGTTATTTTTTTATTTGTCATTTATTTTATAAGTTCAAAATGAAAAATATTATGGTGTTACATTTTTTAACTATTATAAAATTTTAACATAATAAATATTTATTTTAATAACCAGTTTTTTGAAAATCTTTTTGTTAAACAAGGTCAGACCAAATTTCTGGAACTAATACATTCTTATAAGCCCAAACGTTACTCAAAATAACGTTTGGGCTGTGTGAAGCTGTTTTTGTTATAAGTTTAAATATCTTTTCTGCTTTATTTAGAATAACAGCTTTAGTATATTAAAATTAGTAATTAAGCACTAGCAAAGTTCGTTTAACTTTGCTGATCGCATTTAAATGAAGGCCGAATGCCGAATATTTGTTAAACTTCGGTTACGAAAATTAATAAATACTATGTATTCGAAAAACTTCGTTTTAACCATGGAAGTCTAAAACAGATGGAAGTTCATCGAGTCGCAAACATCAAAGCAATTTTAAGTCGTCTCGGGATTATGTCTGTAACCAGGGCCGCTGAGAGGGGAGGCCACAAGGACAGTTTTTCTCGGGCGGCAGATGTCCATGGGGCGCCAGATGCCGAAGTAAAATAAAATAATTTTTTTATTCTTAAAATTCTATAATTAAAATGTATATATTACTCGCGTTATATCATTGTTTTTTATTCCTCGAAAAGTTTAAAAAAAATACGCTATTAAATTAAAAATGTCTCTTGAGATTTTTGCATTCATCAGACAAAAGTAAAAAAACGCAAACGTTGATAATTAGCAATAGCAAACTGTGAATACAATTTAGAAATAATTTTATTCAGAATTTCATATTAAATAAATCAGAACAAAATATATCTTTTGACTGGTTCAAAAGTTACCTGTGTAGCAGAAAACAATGCGTTGTTACAAATCATAATAAATATTCAGACCTACTTGAAATAAAATGCGGAGTTCCCCAAGGTTCCATTCTGGGTCCCCTTTTATTTTTAATATATATCAACGATCTTCCAAAAGCCCTAAAAAAACTTTATCTTATAATGTTCGCTGATGATACAAATTTATTTTACTCATCGCCGTCTATAAGCGAACTTTACGAATCTATGAACACTGACCTCGAAAACCTCAACATCTGGTTTAAAGTAAATAAATTATCTTTGAATACAGAAAAAGCAAAATATATCTTGTTTCACTCCAACCGTCTTAAAAACTTTATACCAGGCACTCTACCTTCACTAAAAATTGATAACATAAACATCAAAAGAACTGAAATAACTAAGTTTCTTGGAATAATTATTGACCAGAATATTAATTGGAAAGCCCATATTAATAAAATAAACACAAAAATATCAAAAAGTATCGACGTACTCTACAAAGCCAAATCTATGCTTTACCAAGACAACTTAAAAATTCTCTTCTTTTCTTATATTCAAAGTTACCTAACACACGCTAATATTGCATGGGAAGTACTGATAAAACTAAATTAAATTCACTCTACATACATCAGAAACATGCATCAAGATTAATTTATAATAAAGATAAATTCACTCATGCCGACCCTTTACTTAAAAATTTGAATGCATTAAATATCTATCAAATAAATATTTACCAAAATATCTTATTCATGCTAAAATACAAACTCGGACTTGTTCCGAAATACTTTACTGATAGCTTTTTTCATATCAACGCAAACAAATATATCACACGAGGAACAGGCAACTTCACCTTGCCTTTAAAAAAAACAAAATTCTCGCGATTTTCTTTAATATACCGTGGCCCATACTTACATAACAAAATAATACTTCAAAATATGGAACTTAATAAAATGGATAACCTTATTGCTCTGAAAAATAAACTAAAACATATCATAATTAACTTAACCAACTTCATCGAAATGTATTAAACAATTTGTGAAAATAGTAATAATAAAAAGCCCTACTACTTCTACTATATAGTAGATACCAAAATACTTATGTTTATTTGTTGAACTAGTTCATTAAAGTTTATTTTATGTTTTAAAGGTTCTCGATGAAAAGACTATTTTAGTCTTCTGCGAGTTTCCTTACAACAAAGAAAAATATTTTTTAAGAATAATTTTATATATATATATTCAACAAGCAAGTTGTATATATATATATAACGTCCACAAGCAAGTCCCTAGTAGCCCTGTGGTACGACGGACTTGCATATATTTTTTAAATGCATGGGTTAATAGCCAGCACTTTATATTATAAACAACGAATACCTTATTTTGTACACTGTACAACGCGCATGCGCTAAACAGAATTTTAAATTTCTTTTGTTTTGTAAAAATTTTAATGGTACAAAAATTGTTTAATTGTACGTTTTGTACTTATATGTAAAAATATGTAATTTTGTTTTATTGAAATATATACGGATACTTGTGTTGTAAAAAAAAAAAAAAAAAAAAAAAAAAAAAAAAAAAAAAAAGAACAAACAATGGAATCATCGTATTATGATGATGTTGATCTACATTCTCTTGGTTTAGTGGAAAATGAAACAGACGACAGTTTTAACGATGAATTCAAACCCGAAGAAAATAAAGGTTTTTATACAAACAATAATTCAAAATAGTTAAATAATTAATTAAGTATTAGTTTTTAATTAATTTTTTTTAATTCAGGCGTTGAAAATGACCCAGCACTCTGGCCATCGATTCTTAAGCAAAGAGAAAAAGAAGAGTTAATCAAAAAAGGTCCGTCAACTTTACCTGATGATTTCCCACGAGATGCTTCTAATAACAGGGCCTTTCCAAAAGAAGTTCTTTTCATTGCATTGCCTAATGGAGAAAAAGTTCAACAAGATTATCTGATATGGAGCCCATCGTCTAACTCTCTACTTTGTTTCCCGTGTTCTTTATTTGGGTGTGAAAATTCCAGATCTTATGGGGATCGATCTCTTCTTCTTCGCTGGAATGGAGGAATAAAAAATAACTGGAGAAAATTGAGTGATCGTATCAAAAGTTATCATAGCAACCCAGTTCATCAAAGTCATTATCTCAGTTAGAAGACTTTGCACTCAGCTCTTGTTGATCAGCGCGGGATCGACTCAGAGTTCCAAAAGGCACTAGAAAAGGAAGAAGCCAGATGGCGTGAAATACTTCGTTGTATTTTAGATGCAATTTTATTTTTAACATCTCAAAACCTATCCTTTAGAGGTGAATATTCTAGGCCAGAACTCTAAATACTTAAGAATAAGTTCTTATTTTTAGTATTACAGAATTTCTATTATCTACATTTAACTAACTTAGAAAACATTGTTTTAGGGCAATATTCGTCGATGGAGAAGAACGAGAAAGGGAACTTTTTAAGTTGCCTTGAACTTATTTCTCGTCACAACGAAACATTAAAGAATCATCAAAGTAAAGGAACCAGAATGCAAGCTCACTATCTCTCCTGGCAATCACAAAACGAATTCATCAGTGAATGCGCTACATTAGTTCAAGCAGCAGTTGTGAAAGAAGTAAAAGATGCCGTATATTTTACGATAATTACCGATGGGACCCCAGATGTATCTCACACCGAACAAATCACGTTTATTCTTCGATTTGTGCGATTCAACTTGGGTAAGATGATTTAGGAAGTTAAAGAACGATTTCTCTGCGTTGAAGATATGGAGAAAGAGAAAGGTGCAGATATTGCTTATTTAATTTGCAACGTTTTAGCAAAAGTGAATCTCGATTTAAAAAAATTGAGAGGTCAAGGATACAATAATTGTTCTAATATGGCTGGAATCTATAATGGAGCCCAAGCTAATTTACTGGAAAAAAATCCGTTCGCTTTATACATTCCTTGCGGTGCTCATAGTTTAAATTTAGCTGGAGTTCATGCTGCTGAGTCTTGCGGTGAGATCAAAACGTTTTTTAGCAATATCCAAGCCCTCTACGTGTTCTTTAGTTGCAGCCCAGCAAGATGGAAAATTCATCACGAAGAGACTGCTTTATCGCTTCACAATCTCTCAGATACTAGATGGTCAGCCCACATAGCAGCTGTAAAACCATTAGTGAAAAAACCACGAGAAATCATTGCTTCTCTGGATAGAACCGTTAATCAATTTGACCTAACTGCGAACATGTTGAATCAAACGAAATCGTTGGGCAAATATTTTAAGTCATTTGAATCAGTAGTTCTTCTGACCATTTGGTATAAGACACTGCAAAATATTGATAATATTAGTCGATGTCTCCAGTCAGAGTCAATCACCATTGAAGAAGTCATCCTCATTCAACTACTTCTAGATGACCTAGGTCGCATTCGTTCGTCGTGGAATTGTATTTTGACTGAAGCAAAGCTAGTGGCTGGAAATCTAGGCTTTGAAACAGAATTTAAAGTAACACGCACAAGAAGAGTGAAAAAATTCCACGAAGAACCATCAAATACAGCCCACTACCACGACGATACAGAAAAGAATTTTGAAGTAAATATTTTCAACGTGGCATTCGACCACATAATTCTACAAATTCAGTCAAGTTTCAATGTGGTGAAAAAGGTTTCTTCTCAGTTTTCCTTTATCTTGCTTCGGTCTGAAGACCCTTCTTCACAAGATGACAAAGCTCGTCAACTTGCAAAATTCTGTTCAAATGACGTTAAAGAAGACGATCTTATTGGGGAAATTTGCCACTTTGACCGGTTGAAAGCATCGTCCTTGTTCAGTAAAGGCAACTCTCTCAATTTTTTAAATCAAATATATTCCAAAGGCTTACAACCAATTTTCCCGTCGATATGCATACTTTTGTGCATCTTCCACACAATGCCAGTAGCCGTTGCAGAGGGTAAAAGATCTTTCAGTAAACTGAAGATTATAAAAAACCACTTCAGAGCCACCATGGGACAAGAGCGACTTTCAAATCTTATGGCGTTGTCTATTGAAAATGATCTCGCGAAATCATTGTCATATGATGAAGTAATTTCTAATTTTGCCTCGAAAAATGCTCGAAAATTTTATTTTAATTAGGAATTGTTTATGATGTGGTTAGTTAGCAAAAAATGAAATAAAAAAAAGTTAAAGTAGCTATAAAGGCATACTGTATTGTTTTCCTTCCGTGGCGCAGTGGTTAGGAAGTTGGAAACAGAGAGCCAACTTAATAAATGCTGTTCTCCTTGTGGCGGTGCTCTGTGACAAGATCATTAGGACTTCTTAGAGCACCTTATTAACTGAAAAAAAAAAGAAAAAAAGCGAAATCCATAAGGGCGCCAAAAAAGTTGTTGTCCCGGGCGGCTTGAAGGCTCTCGGTGGCACTGTCTGTAACCGACAATAAAAAAAACAAGTTTCACTGGACAAAAAACAACAAAATTCACTGAAATGATTTCTTATTAAAATAATTAGGTCTATTAAAAATCGTTAATTAAATAGAACCACTTGATTTTAAAAGCATATGTTATTTTCTTGCTTCAAGTCATAACGCGATATTTGATTAAATAGACAACAAAAACAATTTTTAAAAAAATCAAAAAAATTGTTTTCTATATAACTAAAGTTTAAAGTTTCATTAGCTGTATATCTTAATTACATTCATTCTTGTAGTACTCCATTCATTTAATATGAAGTTTATAAAAAAGTTGTTTGCTGTTTTGTTGCGTCATTTTTAATGTTTTTCTTAAATATTATTGGCGAACCTTATTTTAAAATTATTACAAACGTACCTATTTGCGTCAACGTATAAAGATTAACCGTTTAAGTACACCCTTGGTATCGTTTAATTATTGTTTATGAAACAAAAGGTTACATGCATAGCCCGAAGAATTTCAATGCAGTTGAACTTCCATCTGTTTTAAACTTCGATGGTTTAACAAATACTGAAAATTATATCGTTAAACTTTGCAACCAACTGGGTACGGACTCACAACACTTTCGTAAGTCCAAAATTTGCGTAAAGCTTGCGTAAGTTTTGCTTAAGGTGGCAGTATAGAGGGAAAAAAAAATGATAAACTTTATTATAATTTTTTTTTTTTTTTTTTTTCAAACGATTTTTTAACTATAGATGTAACTTCAGCCAGAGGAGACCAGAAAAATTTTTGTGAAATTTATTTCAGAAAACGAGCCATTGAAAATCAAGGACTATTAAAATATTTTCTGATTTTTACAAATTGCAATCATTTTTGAAAATTTTTATTTTCTTTCATATTTTTTTCACATTAGTTTTCTTTATAATATTGTATTTATTTATTTATTTATTTTTTTTCGCGCTTTTCTCTGAATTAAATTTTTGGGGTTTACCAAAATTTTGGCAAGGGTTACCCTTTACTTAATCAGAAAAAATTCATGAAATTTTCCCAATTTTTTCGTTTTTTGTGGTAGATTGTATTGAGCGGGTCAGATTTTTGAAATTTAATTTCTTTGAATAAATTTAGCAAAAAATAAAATTTACGCAAATTTTACCCCCTGATTTTAAAATTCCAAAATATTGTTTCGCACGATACCATCATCACACAAATTCACATAGATGTAGTATTTTTTAAGTGAAACCTGATAAAGTTAACTAATTAAACTCTTGTTAAAAGATTATTTGGTCACCTGCTAAATATGCTTCTAGTTACCACCCAGTTTAAAAAATATATATATTTTGCAAATTATTGTAGTCTCTTCTTTATTGCATGTTTATGCAAACTTTTAAAGTTTCACTTAATGATAAACATAAATTATGCTATTTTGTATTAAAACAAATCAATTGTTTTTTTTTTAATTTAGCTGCCCCAAGAAGACCTAACAGTCTTGTCACAGAGCACCGCGGAAATGCGTTTAACCAAGTTCACGCCTCTTTCCGTACCGTTACGCGAAAATATGTCTAAAGCTCGTTTTGAACCCAAGTCTCCCGATTTTGAAGCAAGCGCTCTAACTACTGCGCCAAGGCCTCTTTAATTTCAAAGTTACGCAAAGTCATATTCACAAACCTTGAGATCTTACGAAATTCGTTAGTTTTTACGTTAGTTAATACTTACGAAAATAATCTAAAAAACGTTATTCACAACATTTTCTTAAAAAGTGCTCAGCAAACTTTATACAAGAAAAGTTACGTATGAGGGAAACCCCCTCTAATTTTTAAATCAATTTTTAAAAAAAAATATTTGTCAAATCAATAGCATATATAAAAAAAAAAATAAGAAAAAAGTATTTAAAAAAATAAAATGGTAACCTGTTGCTATGGAAACCATAAAAAAATACCAACAAACAGCAAAAACAGGTTTCACGCCGGCCAATATTGTGGGCAGGGAACAGAACAACCCTAGTTAAAATTTTTATATGGTGTTTGCATAGAGTAGAAGAGTGTTTTAAGTTGAACAGAACTTTTTTTTACACATATAAATTCAGGCATTTTGAAGTCAAAGTTCAATATTCAATAATATAGTAATAAAACAGCATAAACAGCAGGTGTAAAAAAAAAAAAAAAACTGTTCAACTTAAAACACTCTACACCATTTAATAAACATTCACTGAAAATTTTATGAAGGGCTCTTGAATGGTTGGCGAGCAATGTTACCCGGCGTCTTAAATACTTCAAACTGAGAAAAAAGCAAATTAACATTTTTTAAATTAAATATCACCAAAACATGTAAAAAAAAAAAAAAAAAAACAATCATTAACTTCTTTAAATAAAAAAAAAGTATTCAAAATCCTCCCGGTTCATATTTTATACCTTCTTTTTCCAAATTATTGTCATTTTTTTCAAGTTTTTTTGTTCTATTTAGCTGTCGTCTTAACTTATTCTTTTCATTCATTTTATAATCTAGTTTATTTTATTTTTATAAAACAATCTAGTTTTATTCGTTTATTGTTTATTTTATTGGAACCTTTAACCATAAAAGCTCCTGGTAACATGTTTAATTGTTCAAAAACTAACACTGAAGCTTTTATACCAATATTGAAATTTGCTACCGCATCATACACACCAAATTTCAAATTATCAAATGACACATGCCTGGCCTTTAGTAATCAGTCCCAAATCATACTGTTGAAGGATTCATTAGCGTTTTGGGTTTTCCCATGTAAACACTCTTTTAGTTCTGAATCTTTGCTAAGATCCTCAAAAATGGGTCTAATTTTGAAAATTATGTTCATTGGAAAACCTGGACCTGGTTTGTATTTGCTTTATCAAAGTTGAACTTGCACCAACTATTAATGCCGGTAGGACAGTGAGGAAAGTGCAAGTTATTTGCTTTGGAAGATGCAACATGAAATAATGTAGCCAATACACTTGCCTTCATACCTGCTAAGTTTCCAGTATTTTGCCTTATAGCAATGCCAAAGAAATTTTGCAGACGATCAATAACTGCATCTGTAAGACAACCACGTCCACCGAGACCTTTTTCTCTCTTCTTTAAATTTCGTAGTCATGAACCAACACGTTTCTGATAGTGTCCCACGCATTTCAACTTATTAACTTGAATGCCAGGATAAGTGTCTATGACATAATGAAACTTTTACTGTCTCCATCTCCTTAATAATTTACATATCGCAGTTTGTACTTATCTATAGATCTTAAAAATACACGTTTTGCACCAGCGGACCCCATACCGCTTGCAGATCCTTTGTAATTATTTTTACAAATGTGAGAGTTTTTCCATTGGGCATAGGCTGTAGGGTTTGTTTTTAAAAGATCTTTCTTCAAAAAGCAACCTTTGCAGAACCTGCACATTGGTTCCACATCTAAAGCTTTTCCAGTGTCCATTGATAATGCAGAAAAGACACCGTTTAACGATGAAAAACCTCTTTTCTACCAATTACCATCACATGACACACCAATATCAAAAACATTATCATTAGCAGCATGTTTTCGCAATTCTGCTACTGCATCAAACATGGTATCTTCAGCAACTTTTTGTGTGACAGCACCTATTTTCACAGCTAATTTATCATAATTATTTTGTGTCATTGGTTGTGGCATATTCATTAAAGTAGTAAATTTTTCGATACCAGAATGTCCCTGTCCAAGTGAACGCATTGCTTATACTGTTCTACAATTAATATCGTATGCTCTGTTACATTGTTTTGAAGTATAAAACTCATTTTCATATTTGCAGTTATAGCACTTGATAATTAACTTTGAGGCAAGTCCTTTTTTGTCTTGCATTTTTTTGGACAATGACAAGGATGAACATTCACCACATTGAGGACATGCTAAAGCACTAAATATGTCAGATAATATGTCAGAGCAATCTATAATCCTATATGTGTGTATATAATAATATTATATACACACTTTTACAATAATATTGTATATGTGTGTATATAACAAATGCTGTATATATTAAATATATACAGATATACAATATGTATATTTATAATTATTTAAATAATTAGCAGCCGTGGCGCAGTGGTAGCGCACTTGTTTCAAAGACGTAAATCCGTGGTTCAAACCCCACCTCTGGACAAGTTTTGCGGCATCGGTTGGGAAGGAGGCGTGAACTTCCTATTAAATGCTCTTCCGCGGTGCTCTGTGATAAGACCGTAAGGACTTCTTGGGGCACATAAATCAACATAAAAAATATATATATATATTTTATTAAATATATATATATAATTAAACAAATATATAAAATTATATATATATAAAATTATAATATACGTTGTATATGTTAAATATACACAGATACACAACATATACAATATTATTGTAAAAGTGTGTATATAATATTATTATATACACACATTTATACATATATAACTATAACTATACTACACATGTACATATATAATATACTATATATGTACATATATAACTATACTGCATATATATATAGTTATAGTATATATAGAATATTATGTCAGAAAAGCTCGTTTTATAAAAATCGTTTTTAATTTAAACGCATGCGTACAAGCAGATGAAAACATTCTAAAAGTTCAAAATGTTATTTTGAATCATCCGATAGAACGCTAGCCCTTCAAAAGCTTCAGAATAACAGAAAACTTTAATTTAACTTGATGAACCAGACTATTTGCGCTAGCTGAATGAGTAA